TCTTCTTTAGACAAACCATGCTGATAACGTAGTAAGTCAGTCCTTCTTTCTCAAATAAAACATCTTGATAACGTAGTAAGTCAGTCTTTCTTTCTGAGACAAACCAACTTCGTTATCTGTTCATCTCAGGAAACATACGGTGAGTATGTTCGATTATCTTTATTCAAACATCCGATTTACTGGTTCTGCTCTTACAGAAAAACCATATCCTCCTCGTAACTTGAGAGCTGAAGATGTTGCCAGTCGTTCTGTCAAGGTTTCCTGGGATCAGCCCTATAGCGGAAACTTGCCCATAACGGGTTACCTGTTGATGTACAGAAAACACACGGGTAAGTTAACTGTTGTCTCAGGAGTTCCGTACGTACGCTATGTGTATCCCAGTGTGTTAACAACGCGTTCATTCTTTGATTATTAATATATATACACGTTGAAATAATCGTTAACCACACCCACTGAATTGTGTGTTTCATTAAGCAGATCGTGAGACCGAAACCAAAACCAAGTCCATCCCTAGCACCAAAACGACAACCACCATTCATGGATTGTCCCCTCTGACAAACTACAATTTTGAAATCGTCGCAGAAAACTCACTAGGTCGTGGTAACCCTAGTCGGAATCTAGCTGTGCAGACAAAGGAGGAAGGTAAGTCTCCGGAATCAAGCTGCGGATACCTTTCTTGTCCGGAATAACTCACTAGGTCATGGTAACCCTAGTCGGAATCTAGCTGTGCAGACAAAGGAGGAAGGTAAGTCTCCAAAATCAAGCTGCGGATACCCCTCCTAGTGAGTTATTCCGGACAAGACAGCTAGATTCCGACTAGGGTTATCACGATGGTTCATGATAAAAGTTAGCGTGGTGTGAGGTCTAGTAGATCTCTCGTGAAGGACAATATATGGTTCATGATCAAAGTTAGCGTGGTGTGAGGTCTAGTAGATCTCTCATGAAGGGGTTCATAATAAAATCAGGCTAGGTGTGAGAGCTGACTTATAGATATACTTGCTGTCGAATGTAAATGATAAGGAAAAAAAAGTGCTTGGTAATATCTGTTATTCCATGCAATATAGCATCCGCAGCTTGATATCGCGCATTATGAACAATATCTGTTATTCTGGACAAGAAAGGTATCCGCAGCTTGATTCCGGAGACTTACCTTCCTCCTTTGTCTGCAAGGACAATATGTGGTTCATGATAAAAGTTAGCGTGGTGTGAGGTCTAGTAGATCTCTCGTGAAGGGGTTCATAATAAAATCAGGCTAGGTGTGAGGTCTAGTTGATCTCTCGTGAAGTACAATATGTGGTTCATGATAAAAGTTAGCGTGGTGTGAGGTCTAGTAGATCTCTCGTGAAGGACAATATGTGGTTCATGATAAAAGTTAGCGTGGTGTGAGGTCTAGTAGATCCCTCGTGAAGGACAATATGTGGTTCATGATAAAAGTTAGCGTGGTGTGAGGTCTAGTAGATCTCTCGTGAAAAACAATATACACGAGAGATCTACTAGACCTCACACCACGCTAACTTTTATCATGAACCATATATTATCCTTCACGAGAGATCTACTAGACCTCACACCACGCTAACTTTGATCATGAACCACATATTGTTTTTCACGAGAGATCTACTAGACCTCACACCACGCTAACTTTTATCGTGAACCATATATTATCCTTCACGAGAGATCTACTAGACCTCACACCACGCTAACTTTTACCATGAACCACATATTGTCCTTCACGAGAGATCTACTAGACCTCACATCACGCTTTTATCATGAACCACATATTGTTCTTCACGAGAGAACTTATATTTAAATTTTAGTATTTATATATTTTTTGGTTGAACACCATAACTACATTTTCCGAAATGACGGTCATAGTTACAATTGTTTTCTGTATTAATTGTGAGCTTTTAATGACATATCCCAGTTCCAAAAATGTGCGCATAAAAACGTTTGACGAAGGCTTAAGTGGGTGGTGAAAGAAACTTTATTATAAATGTACAAGTTCATGTCATCAGGTACATAAGCTTGTCCAAACGTTGTACATTTATAATAAAGTTTCTTTTAACACTCATTCAAACAATCTTCGTGTGCGTGTTTTTCTTATAGCAAAGCCACATCAGGCTGCCTGCTATGTTCACTGAGGGGAATCGAACCCCTGATTTTACCGGTGACACGCTCGTTGCTGTATTTCTGAGCCTTATATTAAAGCTGATTTTCTAACCTTAAACATAGTGCCATCTAGTGGCAGTAAATGTTAATGTCTAATGTTTTGCTTTACTGTAGATTAAAATGATGTAAAGTATTTCTGTTCAGAATGTTATAAATAATTTTAATCTTCAATGTGTACTTTAGTGTTAAATTTATATTATCTTTCTTCTTTTTTTTGCTCTAATCTCGGCTCATAAACCTGCAAAATACAGTTAAAATCCGAACAGTTAAGCGTAAAGAGGGAAAAGAATGTGAAGCAATAATATATCGAATGACGTAATTTAAAAGTTATAATCAAGATGCATCAGATACATGTTGCTATAAATATATCATAATACGTTGTTTAATTAACAGATTCACTCCTTCACGACCCCTAGCTTGTTTCAGTGAGACTTTTAATATAGAAAACAACGATTAGATATTTATACAGAGATTAACATTTAATATGTTTATCACTTAACAATAAAACATGACTCTGATAATTATTTTATTATTCTCAACAGCACCTGCAACGCCACCTGGAGACGTTCGAGTTCAGCCTGTAAGTTCTCGAACTTTAAAAGTCTCGTGGAAGGTAAAAGTTTCGAGTCTTATTACAAACAAACAAAAGTCTAAATTTGCTCTTCGTAAAAAAATAATATAACGTTAGCGATCGTGTTGCTATGTTGGTCAGAGTAGAGTCCGTCATGGTCAGGGTGGAGTCTGGTCATTGAAAGTAGTGGTTGAATTATTGATGGTGTTTTTCCAGTTAAATTCAAAATAATTAAAGTATTCCGTTTCATTCTTGCTAAGAAATACTTTTTATTAATAGTTTTTACATTCTATTTTTTCAGCCTCCAGCATTTCTGGATGATCACACCGTTGTAGAGGGCTATTATCTTGGATATAAGAAAATAAGTGTCCCATCCAAAACTTATATTTACAAGACATTGGCTTCTCAAGGACCAGTACAAGAACAGGTCTATGAACTGACGTCACTAGAACGTGCTACCAAATACGCCATTCACGTACAAGCTTACAACAATGCTGGCACAGGCCCTGCATCGAAGGACGTTATTGGTCAGACTCTAGAATATGGTAAAATTACAGTTATGTTGATCGAGGTCGCCATTAATCATTAAATATGTGACAATTATACTTAAAACAACAAAATTATTCTAGACACCAAATCTATGTCAGGATATCTTCAGCTATTAATTTAAAAAAAATAATTAATTTTCTTCTTGGTGTTTATGTGTTATAGTAAACTATATAGACATAGTCCCAGTTCAGTAGCACTTGGTTATAATACTTAATTAACACCTGATGTCCGTTGTAAAACTTAATTAACACTTGATGTCCGTGGTAATTATTAATTAACACATGATGTCCGTTGTAAAACTTAATTAACACCTGATGTTCGTAGTAAAACTTAATTAACACTTGATGTCCGTAGTAATTATTAATTAACACTTGATGTCCGTAGTAATTATTAATTAACACATGATGTCCGTTGTAAATCTTAATTAACACCTAATGTCCGTAGTAATTATTAATTAACACCTGATGTCCGTTGTAAAACTTAATTAACACCTGATGTCCGTTGTGAAACTTAATTAACACCTGATGTCCGTAGTGATTATCAATTAACACCTGGTGTCCGTTGTAAAACTTAATTAACACCTGATGTCCGTAGTAAAACTTACTTAACAAATGATGTCCGTAGTAATTATTAATTAACACATGAGGTCCGTTGTAAAACTTAATTAACACATGATGTTCGTAGTAAAACTTAATTAACACTTGATGTCCTTAGTAATTATTAATTAACACATGATGTCCGTTGTAAATCTTAATTAACACCTAATGTCCGTAGTAAAGCTTAATTAACACTTGATGTCCGTAGTAGTTATTAATTAACACATGATGTCCGTTGTAAAAACTTAAATAACACATGATGTCCGTTGTAAAACTTAATTAACACTTGATGTCCGTTGTAAAAATATTCTCTTTTTCACATTCGTTTTAATTTGTCAGTTATGGATTTAAACTCAGAGATTTGTACAAATAGCATATCAATTTACATGTTGTCCAATAATGAAGATGAAGATGGTTGATGAAACACAAAACATTTTATTTATAAGGTTCAAACGTTTTGGAATACATTCATTCTTCCATCTTCAGCGAACTCTAACTAAAACTATGATATAATAATTACTAGTTTTTAAGTAAAGTAGTAAACGGAAGGATAAAACTAAGGATGTGTCGTACAACAGTTCAGGTTTAAGTGTGAAAATTTAGAACAATTTTAGATCTAAAGAGCTTTGTGAGTCGTTAAGAGTCCGGCGGTCTTTAACTATGACTAATCTTTCTATAGTATTGAGTTCAAGGTGTGAAGATCCTGTGGTAATGATAGAGAAATCGTTATATGAAATACTGTGACCTGTTGTTTCAGAACATGAACGAATGGATGAGTGGCTGGGTTTGAGTAGTGGATGGTTGATTCTGTTAGATACTCCTAAATGGCGTTTTCTTTTGCCACTGCACGAAACCTTACGTTCGAACCTTGTAAACAGAATGTCTTGTGTTTTGTCAACCGTCTTCATATTTTGTATACCACAGATCACTGTCCAGTCATCTAAATTATTAATACCAGAAGTCGTCAGTTGGGCTGAACTATGACAACGAAAAGCCTTTCTAAAGTCCTATTTATATACAGAGTACAAAAACTTTTAAAGTTACTGTGCTACGGGAAACTTGGAAAACACTAAACACCAATCAACCTAATAAACACCGCCGTAGATTACAAGTTCTTTTGTTTTGTATTTCTTTTAATTTGCTCAATTCTTATCTTATATCAATATTGTGTAAAGGTAGCATTTCAAACTCACCATATTTTCACCAGCTAAATACTACATAAACACATTTAGCTGTCCCTCCCCTTCTTCACCACCTATATACTACAGAAACACATCTAGCTGTCTCTCCCTTCTTCACCAACTATATACTACATAAACACATCTAGCTGTCCCTCCCCTTCTTCACCAGCTATATACTACATAAACACATCTAGCTGTCCCTCACCTTATTCACCACCTATATACTACATAAACACATCTAGCTGTCCTTCCCCTTCTTCCCCACCTATATACTTCATAAACACATCTAGCTGTCCCTCCCCTTCTTCACCAGCTAAATACTACATAAACACATCTAGCTGTCCCTCCCCTTTTTCACCAGCTATATACTACATAAAGACATCCAACTGTCCCTACACTTCTTCAACAACTACACACTACGTAAACACACCTAGCTGTCCCTCCCCTTCTTCACCAGCTATATACTACATAAAAACATCCAACTGTTCCTACACTTCTTCAACAACTATACACTACATAAACACACCTAG